GTTCATCCATATTGCAGACCTTGCACCCATGTATCTCTCTATGATCAGTTTCCTTAGACATTTTGGTGGTTGAAGGTTGTCGAGCACATTCTCATCTAAATCGTTGTTCGTCGAATAAATGTGCCTAAGACTCCAACCTAAGGTCAAATCTGTGAGTCTCCTCTTTTTACATAATTGGGCATTACGAGCCTCCTCGCCATCCTTAACATTTTCAAGAGAATTTATTCCTAATTTGTAAAGATCAGTCATATTCTTCAGCTCCCCAATTCTATAACCACTCACATTTCTAAGTATAAAATGATACAGTTCTTGAAGTGACTTTAGCTTCCCAATCTCACAAATCGATGAAATACAATTCTTGGGCAATTTCACGTAACGCAAGTTTAAAAGGTTATTAATGTTATTTGGTAAAAAATCACCACCTTCAGATTTGACTAGGTTCCGTGGCCACTCACAGATTATGTATTGCAAGTGATAAAGCTTACTTAGAGATCTTGGCAGCATAGTCAAATTAGCATCATCAATCTTTAAGTATCGAAGATGTATTAAATTTCCAATCTCCTCAAGTATCATTTTCAATTCAACTTGATAAACACATATGTATAATAAGCGTAGGCTTCTCGATGATTTCAATACTTCAATAAGTCCATTGCAAAGATCCTGATCATTAAAATCTTCATAGAACAAGAAAAGAGAATGCAAATGTTTCAACTTCTCAATCTTTCTTAAGATGTCTGGTTTTGCATTTAGAATAGACAAGTGTCGAATAGTCTCAGAAATTTTAAGAGATGACTCTTCATCATCCATAAGTTTACCGCATACCTGAGCAAAAAATTTAGATGCTGACTCATGTATTAAATCATGCATCTTGTAGCGATATCCAACCTTGTCAAATAAAGCTTTTTTGACTAAAACATCAAAATACCTTCCTCCGATATCCTCCATAGTTTCCATAGTCATTCCTGGAGAAGGCTGAATGAAACCCAATGAAATCCACATTCGGACTAAATCATCTTTATCAAACTCATGATCTTCTGGGAACATACAACAAAATGCAAAACAATATTGTAGATTATTTGGCAGAACTATATAGCTCAGTCTTAAGATGGAATGGATAGAATTCTGATCCAATAAATTGCTTTCTAGAACTTCCCTCCAACGCCTTGCATCCAAGTCAAGAGAATTTAGAACCCCGCCAATGACCTTAGCTGCCAACGGAGATTTTGAAAGCTTTTTAACTATATCTCGAGCAATGACTCTTAAATTTTCATGATCATCAGGGTTCTTCTCTACACCAGCAAATGCATGAGAGTTGAGGAGCTGCAAACACTCATCTTCCTCTAGGCCTTCTAATTTAATTATTTCCTTCTTCTTTTTAATTACCTTTGCAAACATCAGTGCAATTGATTCTGTTCGAGTTGTTACCAGAATCTTACTACCAAAATCCCCAGAAGATAGAGGGGCCAGCACATCCTCCCATTTGCTTTTATCCTTCTCCTCATCCTCCTCCCAAATATCATCCAGCACAAGTAAGAACTTTTGGGACATAATCTCAGTCCGAAGACTATTTTGAAGTGCATCAAGTGTGTCACAACGAGGCCTCTCCATCTTAAGAGATTGCAATATATCTGCAATGACTTTCTTCACATCAAAGTTGTTGGAAACACAAACCCACATTTTACGATCAAATTCCTTTGTAATTTCATCATTATAAACATGTTGCAAAAGAGTTGTCTTCCCCATACCACCATCGCCCACTATAGATAGAAGAGAAATGTTTCTGTACAACTGATCAGTTCCCCGATGCTCATTTGATGGATTCCTCAGCCACTCCATAACAAGATCCTTTTCCTTTCCCAGCCCAATGAGATCATTTTTAGTCGAGGATCCCGTTTCACGTGCTCCGTGCAGCTCATGCATGCTGCTGCTTCTGAAGCTCCTTTTTTGAGTCTTTTACAAGATAAAGGAAATTATCAACATCAGTAGAAACTCCATAAAGTTTCTGCAGAGCGTCCTCCAGTCGCTTCAAGTTGGGATCAATTTTGAGAGCACGTTTGCCAATTTTGACAAGTTTTTTCTTCATGGATTTCATGATGGAACGCATCCTTCTCAGCTTCTTGTCTTTGGTCACCTGTTTTTCAAGTTCCATGTACTCCAGCTTGTCCAACACGTCATCTGCATCATCAATGGCAGAACAACTGAAGAGTAAGAAAAAAAAGGAGAATGGAAGAGATGCAGATTAGATAGTTCACTGGCTCACGACGATATCCTGCTCGTTAAGACTACAGAACATTTAAGATTCCATTTGGAATGTATTCCTATAGATTAGTTTTTGGTAAAGCTTGCCATTTGCAAGTAGAATTAGAACATATTGCTTTTTGGGCTATAAAGGAAAAGAGATTGTTGTAGTTGAATGAACTTGAGGAATTCATATTAGATGCCTACAAAAATGTAAAAAGTTTTATAGGGCAAAGTAAGAAATGATGGAACGCACCCTTCTCAATTCTGAGAGCACGTTTGCCAATTTTGACAAGTTTTTTCTTCATGGATTTCATGATTGAACGCACCCTTCTCAGCTTCTTGCCTTTGGTCACCTGTTTTTCAAGTTCCATGTACTCCATCTCGTCCAACACGTCATCTGCATCATCAATAGCATCTCGTGAGAGCACGTTTGCCAATTTTGACAAGTTTTTTCTTCATGGATTTCATGATGGAACGCACCCTTCTCAGCTTCTTCTCTTTGGTCAACTGTTTTTCAAGTTCCATGTACTCCAGCTCGTCCAACACGTCATCTGCATCATCAATAGCATCTCGTAGCTGCCATAGCCATTTGTTAAGAGGTTTATTTTGGTCTGTGATCTGCTCTTGGCTGGAAGCAAAGTTGACGACAGCTTGGATCTGGGGGAGAATCTCTTTCAGCTTTTCCAGCTCCTCCTTTGTGTGTTTCTGCCATTCGACTTGATCTTTCAGGTAACGGAAGCCAGCGCTGATGAGCTTCTCCATGATTGGATCAATAAACATATCCGCCATGGCGATCGTCGACGATCGATGTAGAGCAGAGCAACTGAAGAGTAAGAAAAAAAAAAGGAGATTGGAAGAGATGCAGATCTGAAAGTCTACTGGCTTATTGCGATATCCTGCTGGATAAGATAAGGGAAATCCTTAGAACGCTTCATCTCAACTGTTCCTTTGAAATCTCACGGCATAGCGGAGACGTAAACAGCACCAAGGAATTCCAGCTGGCAATGGTCAAATGTGGCGTCGCATAAACGATAAAACTTAAAGGAAATGGTGGCGAAGGCACACTAAGGTTTGATTTAGACAATTTTTTACAGCTTCCTAACTAAATTTTTTACTTTTTAGTGAAAAAAAAAAGTCATCTAAAAAAAATTTGTACTTGAAAATTTATTTAAAAAAATAATAAAAAATTGGTGTGAAGCAATGCTTAAGCTGCCCGATAATTATTAGTTGACTATTTTTTAAATCAGTCTTTAAATATAATTTTTTTAATAAAAAATATTTTATTAAAAAACTATTAATTGAATTTCAACCTCTTGATTCACAAATTGGAGAAGAGATA